GACAAGGTTGAGCGGTCTAGTACGCCTAGTAGATCTGCTGGCAGTGTAGAATTGAAGAAAGCTCGTAGGAATTTGCCTTTGATGGAAGAAGCTGCTAAAAGAGAAATTTCCTTGGATTTTTACCCTATCTTGTAAGTTTTTGCTTTGGCTGATACTTGTATTTTCTTGTCCATAGTATTTATAAACTTCCTTTAGCATTTCTAGACGCTATTCCCTTATATGAAGGTTAGCATTTGATTCAATTCATCTAAGGGGATAATGTTTCAATATCAATTTGATTGATTTTATGTTTTATTTCTTCTATATCATAAGTGTTCTCTCTATTTAATTTCCACTCTCTTTTGATCACTAATGGTACTATTTCAAAATTTTTATGTCAGGGGAGTTAAAGTAACTGACACTGCATCTGATATTAAAAAGGCATATCGTAAAGCAGCCCTCAGGCATCATCCTGATAAGGTTTGCAAGTGTTTTTTTGCCTGTTATTTTTATTTATTTTGATAATGGATATCGATTCTTACTTGTTCTTTATACGGCCTTGGCGGCCCCCATTAATTGTTGGATTTCAGGCTGGTCTGTTCTTAGCAAGAAATGACAGCAGTCATGATGGACGACTCTGGAAAGAAATCTCCCAGGACGTTTATAGGGATTCGGACAGGCTTTTTAAGCTCATTGGAGAGGCTTATGCTGTGCTATCAGATCCCAGTAAGGTTTGTAACTTCAGACCTAAAACTTGAGCATCTTCGTTTGTTATGATTCTTTACTAGTTAGTCAAGGAAGAACAATCAGTAAATTGAACTCCAGCCCGTCTTGCTCCACTCAGTATATGTGCATACTACTGTGTGAGCCACTGGACTGTTTGCATCTGGTCATTGATGTCTTCAAAACCAAATACTAGAGAGAGAGGTGTGAAGGTTTTCTTCTCTGCTTAACCGAATTGAATCGGTTTTTCTTCAGTTGCCTAAAAATCGACCCGATCTAGTTACACCCCTAACTCCACCCTTGTCTTGGGTAAAACAAAGGGGGAGTTTAAGAGGGAGAGAGAGTGAGATTTTGGGGGCTTACGTAGCACTTGGCAGCACATTAGCACAAGGAAGGACCGAGCGACCAAAATTCACAATCTCAATATCCTTTTAGTTCCAGAGGTGCCGAGTCAGGGAGGGGATCTTATCTACATTGCATTTATTGATCTTATTATGTGTTTTAATCATAGAGGTGCTGAATGTTGATACTTTCAAATTTTTTAACGCCTGAATTTTAATCATAGGTGTATAATTTCCTTGTGAATTTCATTCCCAAGCAAATGTTAAATTAACAATCACGTAAACGCAGTTCACTGAGTTATACATTATTGTTGCGTGTTTATTATTTGCCTTTTAATCTCTACTATTTTCTTCTCAACAGAGATCGGATTATGATCTTGAGGAGGAGGTGAGAAAAGCTGCAAAGCAAAGCAACAGAGGCAACAACTGTAGAAGATCCTCCAATTCCCATGGCTCTCCATTTGAGAGAAGTGCCAATGGACAGAACCACCGGGACAATTGGAAGTCGTGGGGAAGCTCGCAATCTCGATGGTAAATGGAAGCGACCGGCATCGGTATACAGCTTTTTAAGATAATCTGCAATTCTCTTTTCACCCATCTTAGTAGTATCTCACTCAGCCAACATTCAATAGAAAAATAAGAGAGAGAGAGAACAACCTTCCTCCTAAGGATCAGTTGTGCATAAGAAAGATAGCTCATAGCCATCATGTTAGCCACTTCTACTTATTCCTGCCATTCCTTTTACTTTTTCGGTTCCGAATCCGAAATTTTCTGGGGAAAGAAAAAGAAAATCAAAGAAAGAGGATTCAGATAGAGAAGGGAAGAAGTCAAATAGTAGCCATTTTTTTTTTCTAACACATTGGATTCAGTGGGATGCTGAAGGGTTCTTATAGAATTTTCTCAGAAGAATATCCAGAGAGTAACTTTTTATTGGAGAAACTGACCAAAGCTACAGCTTCCATTGCCACAATTCCAACAAGTTCACGTTTGTACAAACTTCATAACCTTGGAAAAGGAAGAATAAAGGAAGAGAATCAAGTGTTTTGAGTTTTTGCTATGAAGGCCAATGTTGATAAGCCAAGCTGGAAAGCCTTAGAGAGGCTGTGGCTCGACTTTACGTGTTGCCCGTGCTTAAGCTGGGAAGCTTAGAGAGGCAGTGGCTCGACATTGCTCGTCACCGCGTTTCAGCAAAAGCTAACTACATAAGAAGACAGTTGAAATCTTTTTTCTGCATTTCAACACAGGAGGAGAGTTCAGTAGACTGAGACTAATGTATTGCTTACAATAGTCTCTATGCTTATAGAATTTTCCTTTTGAACTATGGTAACAATTTTGTTTTTATATTTAAGTTTATTTACCAACAATTTTTTTTCATTTCACGTTTCTCTTTTAACTATCATTTTGAAGTCAGTCCGAATTCTGAAAACAAGAACTGAAATTTTTTGTTTTAGTGATCAAAATTTAAGTTTCAAAAATGTTACTTGAGAATAAAATTGTGATCAAATTGTTGGGTTTGAACTTTGGAGTTGTTTGTTGGGTGTTCAAGACGTGTTTTTAGTACAAGTATTTGAGTGAAGATTTTGAGAAGAATAAAAGAGCAACAACCATGGTGGTAAACATTAATCCTTTAAAAATGGTTTTATGTATTTAGCTGACCAAAATCACATTTCAAAATTTTGATTTTTCATAATTTTAGGATTATTCTATGTTGGTCCATACATTTTTAAAATTTTTATTTTAGTTTTCTAGTCGAAGTTTGTCTAATTGCTTCAATGATGTATATTTCTGTTTTTTTTAATAAGATACGAACTTATATATGAAAAGATACAAAAACATTAAAAAACATACATTCAAAATAAGTATTTTTTAACATCCGTTGGTTTCTTTCAAACCAAAATTCAAAATTCAAAGGGCATGCTTTAATAGCACTATAACCAAAACTCTAATCTAATTGTTAAGATCACACTCTCAAAACTACAACCATTATAATCAAACTCAACACCAAACTTCTTGTTTTGAAATATATAAATCTTCAAAAAATTAGGTTTAATTGTTACAATCCTCAGAGTTTGGCATTTTACAATATTTAAAGATGGATCAAATTGACAATGCAAAATAACAATTTTCTGAAAGACACTTTAATATTTACACCTTTTCTTCTCTCTATGGTTTTCATCTTCTTTTCTAAATTCATAAACATGGATGAAAATACCTTTTGAGACGGTTTAATTCTTCTAAATAAGAATCCTTACAACTAATTTGAAAATTTTCCAATGAACAAGATAATCAATTCATAATTCTACATTTAAACACAAAATTACCGAGCGTTACATATTTCATTTCCTTAAAAACAAGGAATCAAATCTGGAAATCTTGCTCTGATCTCTACTGCTTCTTGTCAAAATAACAGATTCAGAAAATATAATAGATTGAAAAATAAAATAAAATGGTCCACCACCAAAAATTTATCTAGCTGTTTGAGCCTGTGCATGCTCTAGAAGTTGAGTAACTAACTTGTAAGTACGCCCAGATAGTGACTTGGTGTGGTCTATCAGATGTTCGTACCTGCAAGGAAGCATGTCAAATTGATTTATCAATCACCTCAGCAACCAGAAATTTTACAAACTGAGCCAATGGAATTGGAGAATGCATTCTACATCAAAATTTTACTTACAAACACTGTTCCAGCTCGAAAGATGCTAAAAATAACTTGGTTAAATCATAAATTTAGTCTCTGAACTTCCCAAGCTGTGTCTAAAACAGCCCTAAACTTTAGAAGTGTTTATTAAGTTTCAAACTTCTATTTCTCATTCTAATAGGTCTATGACTTATTCAAACTTTTTTTCTTTTTAGACAAGTGGGAATCGAAGCTTTGCCCTCCTATACTCGGCACCCGCGCCTGCCTAAAGGTCCGAACTCGGATGACACCAAGGATTTTTGATATTAAACTCACTGGAAGGTTCGAACTTCAGACTTATAAGTCAATGACTAAAAGACCTCGAGCCTTTGCCAACTAGGTCATCTCTTCATCCCTGACTTATTCAAACTTTTTAAAATCTTTTGGATCTATTAGACACAATTCAATTTTTGTATCTACTACTCTTACTTTCAATTTCGTGGCTAAATATCTTCATGAATTTTAAAATACTTCTAACAGATCAGAGACTGATGAGAAACAAAATTGAGAGTTAATGACTAAAAGTTCCAAGTACCTATTAGACAAAAAATTGAAAGTTTAGAACCTATTAAAAACCTTCTTAAGTTCAAAGATCTATCGGTTAGACCCAACCTTGAAAGTTTTGGGATTAAACTAATAATTTAACCCAGAAACTCCTTCCTATGGCAGAAATCAAGAGCCATAAACATTTCACAAATACAGCACTGTGGGGAACGCTTAGAATCAATTTTATTGATATGAAAATCTACATGGAGGAAACAAACTTACACATTAGGCTGGTTCGGTTCCATTATAACCGCTCCCGTTTTTGAATCAATCTTGGCATCAAGCTTTGAGGTCCGTACAAGATTAACAATCCACCTCTCAGCTTCCTCATAATTTAAGTTTAACTTCTCAGCAAGGACACTGCCACAAGTACCAGCACGTGATATTTAGTGATGAAAAGAAACAAAATAACTTGCCATAACAGAGGATGTACAAGCCCATGATGACTAAATTGGAAAGCAAGGCCTAGGATTGTCCAATTATGCCAAGTGGAAAAAGAAATGTTCTTTTGATTGGATTAGACTGCTGGAAGCTTTGTTTACTAATCCAAATTCGAAGAACAAAGCTTTTACATATTATATAATCATATGAAGGTTTTTTGTGGCTGCAGTCTTTCTTTGCTTATACACGATTGGAAAGCAGTGATTGATGTATAGTTCTTAGGGGAGGGTTTTCTCAACCCTCCGCCTTTAGGTTCTCCCTCTGGGGTGTTTTTGGTTTTTGAATACATTTCCATTGTTTCTTATAAAAAAAATCATATTATTTGGCACCACAGAGAGAAGATCTACAGATTTAGAATCAAATCTGTAACTTAACTGGGTTGAAGACCTATACTCCTACAAGCATAGAGGAAACTTGTGGTTTTGTATACTCTTCTCTGCCTTACATAATCAAACAGTGGCATCATGCACACAATACAGTATAGAACATAATAAAATTAAAGAGAAAATGATATGTATGTACCTCATATCAATGCGCTGATGTATTCTGCAGTAAGTCTCAAAGATAAAAAGGCGAGCATTTTCCAAAAACTCGTCTCTCAAAGGAACAGTAGAAAGGTTGCCTTCTTCAAGCCTTTTTCCGAGGAAAGGATCATTCAATATAACCTACATTGAGGACAGGTTGTTAATTATGACTTGAAAACAAAACTGAATTTTAGAATTTACAACATTATTATACACTACCAGCCAAAATAAAACTTATAACCAAACCACCCAAACAGACATAGAACACCACCTGCTTCTCTACTGAAGAACAAAAAAGCACCATTGAAAATGAGAATATAACATCTCTAATTCCTCATACAGAAAAGAGAAGCAAAGAGAAGCAGGTAACTTACTTCTTCACACTCCCTCATCTTCCGTTGTGCCCCATCAAAGTCATAATTGACATACACACAAGTCAAGAACTCTGTGATGGGATCCTTGTAGGAATACTGGTCTTGCTGAATAACCTTGATAAAATCTTTGAATTGTGGCCTCCGCCTTTTGTTAACAATGAATGCAGTGGCCAAATAACGCAAAAGATGGGGAGCATTGGTTTGAATGGCATTTAAATACCTACACAATAGAATATTACCATGTCATTAAACAACAGGAAAAAGCAGAATTAACTCGTCTCCATACATCTTCTATTCTTAAATCATCATTCAAATTTCTTTTCATATTTTTCTGTTAGACGTATGTATTTGTTTTAGTTATCCTTGTCCATTAACTTGTCTCCATACGGAGGACATATGTTTTTCTGTTAGACCAGAGTTTAACTCATCAACCACATGCCTAAAAAGTTACTATCTTATCAAAACAGCTGAGCCCATTACTGTCTCATTAAACACCAGGGAAACAACATGAACATCTCCATGTCTTTCAATAAAAAGTAGTGAAAACAGGCAAGATCTAGCAGACTTACTTATCTTGATTAAACAGGTCAATAATCTGAGTTCTTCCATTGTCATGATTGAAAAAGATGAAGAGGCTCCAATGCATCAGCCATATTCTGCTTTGCACTTGGTTCATAGGTGATGAGAAATTCTTCAGTAGACATCACCAGAAAAGAAAAAAAAGTCAGTAGGGTGGTGACATATTATTATCTTTTTTTATATAGCAGGGAGTCAAACGCATTGCTCCCCTATACCCAAGTACACCCGCGCCCGTTCCAAGGCTCGAATCCGGGAGATATCAAGAGTTTTTGGTATTAAGCTCACCAAAAGGTTCAAACTTGAGACCCCAAATCCTTGCAAACTGGGCTGCCCCTTTGGGGCGGGTGGTGACATATTATTGTACACAAAAATAAAAAGAACTAAATAGGCCGCCACCTTAGAGTCGATAATTTCCTTTAGACGATTAAGCTCTTCAACAGCAATATCCCAATTCTGCATTAAAATCTCAGCAGCCAATTTCCCCCATAGAGCACTGAGGCTCCTTTCACTGCTTGTACATAAGGCTCTGTACTGATAAAGATAGTCGGCAGCACCAGAGTAGTTCCCACACTCGAACTGAAATTTGGCATATTGATATAATGCTTCTATTTGATCCGGACCAATCTGGAATTAAAAGATAATTCAAGAACCAGATGGAAAATTTAACAACCAATCGATATAATTAGGGTTTTAAGACCATAAAAAAAACTGAACCTGATAACGATCATTAAGCATTTGAAGATTATACTGCTTATCAGCCCTGAGTTCCTGAACAGCCGCCGGATTCTGCAGAAAAGTAACGAGTGGCGCCGCAGACTCCTCCAAAGCCTTAAGCCTGGCGACCACTTCCGCCCTCCTGTCCACCATATCTGCATCAATCCAATCACAAATTCAGACTCAACGCAGCACGTCAATTCAATGTCAAAAGAAAAAACCAAAACCCAGAATTTCCCATGCCTTGAGGAACATCGTCCGTGCGGTACAGCGACTTGTGGATGTCCATGGCGTAATCAACCATGTTGGTCTTGTTCAGAAGCTCGATCTTCGCCTTGAGGATCTGCTCATCGGGGTAAAGCTGCCTCTCCTGAAGGAACTCAAGAAGAGGGAAAACAAGGTGACGATCAAGATTGGGGGCGATTCGTGGAGTCAGATCGTAGTCAGCCATGGCAGAAGTTCCTTCTGCTCAGATTCGTGGAGCAAATGCTTTCAGAGGCAGACTGAGGATAAAACCCTAATCGCGAAGAAGGATGCTTGTATTCGTTAGGGTTTTCTTTTTTTCTTTGTTTAATACCAATTTTACCCTTATAGTTTCAAAAATATGATTTTGACCCCTATCTTACATTTTATGTTCTAAATACCACCCTAAAACATTTGAAAATATGAATAATAATTTTCATTTTTATTTGTGGGCAAAATACATTTTTAGATAAGTGTCTATTTGATCCTGAAGTTTCAAAACGAACACTTTTAGTCCCTAAGGTTTTAGGTAGATGTGTAATTGGTCTTTCAAAATGAACATTTTTTGTCTTTGGGATTTAAAATAGGTGTTAACTTGGTCCTTGAATTTTAAAATAAACACTGTTGATTTTAAAGTTTGAGAAATAATTCTAAATGGTCCCTGTTTTTTTTTACTTATTAATTAACTAATATTAAAATGACAGGGCAAATTGCAATTAAATTGTTTAGTTCTAGAGCTTTGAACACAGATATCATTTAGCTAAATATGTACAATATTGAATTTTAGGTAAATAATTTTTACTATTAATTGTTTAATTGATCATTATGCTAAATTGTGAATTTAAAATTTATAATGTTTATATAAAATAATTTATTATAATTTATTTTTAATTAAAATTTGATCAATTAAATGCATATTTCTAAAGTAATCATACAAAATAAACATATATATAATTTATTTGAGACATTTCAATCTCATGCAATTTATCTCAAACATATATACAACCAAACACAGTTATATTTGATTTCTAGATAATTTAATTAAAGTATCTTAATCTCAAGCTACCTTTTTGAAACCTTTAACCAAACGACCACAAGATTTTGCTAATTCTTTCCAAAAAAATAAGAAGGATTTGAATAACCACTTCAAATTTCTTAAATAACACTCCTTAGAAACATTGAGATAGACGAGGAATTTGGATTTTTGAGAATTCTCTTCTCCCATTTCATCATTGGGAATAAAATTTTATTTATTTATGAGTGATAGTTCATAGAATTCAATTAATTTAAAGTTTTCTTCTAAAGTTGAAGGGTGTGTTTGAGAGAAAGGATATAATAAGTGATTTTTTTAGTACAACATACTGAGTGGGGATCGAACTGACAATCTTTTAGTAGGAGATATATATCAATTACCGCTGATTTATGCTCACTTTGGCATAAGTGATTTTGAAAAAAGAGATTTAAGTATAATTGATTTTCCAAAATCACCGTCTAAGTGATAATTTAAAGTGATTTTAAACTTTCTAAAATCAATTTTCTAATTAAACAAACATGATTAATAGAGAGAGAAGTGATTTTGACAATAACAAAAGAGATTTTGACAATAACAAAAGAGATTTTGACCATACCAAAATCAATCCCAAACACTCTAAATATTCTCCGACCCACACATGCTAATTTTCACAATAATAATAAAAATAAAAATCCTTCTTGATCAAATTAAAGAGACAAGGCAAGGATAGAATTGTTACAAAAATAAAAGGAAAAAAGGTAAATAAAAGGAAGACAATGCCAACTACTTTTTTTTTTTTTTTGCACATATATTATATATATATACACACATATGTTTTCAAGTCTCGTGATTAAATTGGGTGAATTAAAATTAGAACCTCCGATCTCTAAAGAATAAGTAGGATATCTTAACTGTAGAGTAACTATGTTCATGTTGACATTTGTATGTGTTCTTAATCAAAATTGTAACATGGGATTTTAATTATTGTAACATGGGATCAAATGAAAATGAAAATAGGTATAGATATGTGACGGTGTATCTTTTAAATTTTTGACAAAGACGCAATAATTTAGAAAAATCTCCAAAATGTTAAGTTTTTAATATATTACAAATGAGGATATTATTGTTCGTTGTTTCGTATAACATAACTACAAAGATCTATTATATTTTAAGAGATGATATCACAAAACTATAAAACATCTCTAGTAATTTTATCTAAAATACTTTCAAATGGAATACGAGCTTTTTGCACATATGGTACACGAATTAAAATCTCCAAAATGTTAAGTTTTTAATATATTACAGATGAACATATTATTGTTCGTTGTCTCGTATAACACAACTACAAAGATCTATTATATTATAAGAGATGATATCACAAAATTAGAAAACATCTCTATTAATTTTATCTGGAATATTCTCGAATGGAATTCGAGCTTTTTGCACATATCTTACACGAATTTTGGCATCTAAAACTAGCTTTATATTACTTATTAATTCTTTTCTTGTTATGTTGGTAACATACCTTAGTATATAAGTACAATTCATTTTAATTCTTAGATTTAATTAATTGTTCTATATACATCTCTAAATGCTTACTTTTACAACTAAAGAACATTCCTGACAAAAATAAAGTGTAAAAAGTAAAAGAATAAAAAAAAACATGTTATAAGATACGTTTAGCAACATTTATTACAAATATTTTTTTTAGAAAGAAAAATAAAAATGTGTCCAGTAATGATTTTTTTTCCTTTGAAGGAAGGAATAGAAATGTGGTTAGTTCGTTAAACCGAGCATAGCTCAAATGATCAAGGCACCTGTCAAATTTTACGAGCAAAATAGTTTTATTTAAAATATTATTTTAATCCATATAAATTTAACTTTCGTTTATTTTGGTCTCTATACTTTTAACTTTTTTAACTTTTGTCGATTATAGTCATGTACTTTTATAACGACGTATGTTTAGGTCCTTGTACTTTTAAAAAAGGATCGTTTTGGTCTATTTATTTTTTTATCTCATTGTTCGATCATTAATTTTAACATAATACTACAGAACTCAATATTTTTTACTGGAATGTATTCATACCTTTATATTAAAGTGTTTTCATTGTGTACTGAATTTGTGTTAAAATTTTGCAAACGTTGAGCAAAATGGTAACTTTCTAAAAGTACAAGTACTAGAAATAATATTTTAAAATTTCAATGACTAAAATGAACAAAAGTCCAAAGTAGAGAGACCAAAATGAACCTTTGAAATATTACCAAAATGAACCAAACTTGAATATACAATGACCAAAATAATATTTTAACCAATAATTTTGAAAAATAAAAATTAAAAGTTATTGTGCGGAAGGTATTGGTAAAATTATATATTTTATTTATTTAGACTTTTTAAAATTTTGAAAATAAGAAACAATAATTTAAAGACTCACTTGGTTACGTTTCCAAGTCATGATTCTAGTTTTATTGAAAAACTTAAAATTTGACAGCTAAGTTTCTTGTTTCTTCCTTTCATTCCACAAAGTCAGTTTTTCTTATTTTTTCAATGACAAAAGATAAATACAATTATATATTTTTTATTAAAAAAAAGAGAGAAGAAACAGAACGATACCAAACAATCTCAAAGGTCCTTAACAAAAACTATAAAAAGTTAGACAAAAAAAAAAGAGAAAAGATGAAACTACCGTTAGACGGCTTTAAATTAATTGATTTTTGTTATTATAAAAAAAAAATACCACTTGATTTTATCCCAGGGACTAATGTAAATTTATTTGTAATCACTTAGTTTTAATGGTCAATGTTATGCATTAAATTGATTTAATAGGCAATAAATAGAATACATTTTATGTTGAAGGACTGTTAAAGAATTATAAAGTAACTCCAATTCTTATTGCATTTCTATTTACAAGAAAGAGTAATTAAGAGCATCTCTCAAATTTTGTTTTTTTATATTTATTATTGTGTTCTTGTTTTTTTTTTATTGAAAAATAAAAAAGAAACAGTTACTATATCCGAACGTACTTTAGTGAATAAAACATCTATTACGATCTCAATATTTCACTCCTATAACTAACTGTTCCGTACTCATTTGTAATATAATCACGACGTTACTTATTTACTTTTTTGTTTAATATTTATAATTATTTTTGTCAATCTTAGCAACCTTAGTTAATAGTACCAATCTCCAATTAAAAGATCATGAATTTAAATTTTCATCACATCGTATTAAATAAAAATAATTTTAATTATTTTTAGCTGCTTATATATGTTTTTTTCTTTTTTTTAGTTCATATTAGATTTATCAAGAAGGTATTAATAAGAAAAGTAGTTTTTTCCTTTTTTTTTTTTTTTGGTTTTGGTATTAATTAATTTTGTAACGTCTGATAAAAGATTAAAGAAGATGCTTAAGAAATGAATCCACGCGCCACGTGAAAGCGTGGGATTCACGCGTTTTCAGGTTCCTTCAAATTGCCAAAGGAAACTTGGCCTTGGTGTTGAAGTTCATCAGCCATGGCCATGGCCTTCTCCTTCCTCATTTTCTTTGCTGCTTTTTCCCTTCTCTCTCTCCCCTCCATTTCCATGGCCTCGGAATCCGAAGTCGGTATGTTTCTCTCTCTAATTAACAAATAAGTCGTATTTTACCTTTTTCAAATAAGTTCAAATTTCTTATTATTAATGATATTTCGTTGATATTTCTTTATATTATTTATCGATTTTTTGTGACAGCGTGGATTCACCCTTTATGTTGATGATAAATAAGGGTTCCTTTTCCTTTTTTTTTTTGTTTTGTTTTAGAGATAGAGAAAAGTATTGTGTTTGAGTAAGATTTTGTTGAAGTAAAATAGATTTTGTTGAAGTAAAATGGGATGGTTTTACTATTAATCTCATCTTCTCTCTTCTTGAAAGGGTTTAAATTTTATATGTCCAACAATAGATTTTTGCTTCTTTACCCTTATGATAAGAGGCATCTACTCATTTTTCTCCTATATTTTGTATTTTACATAAACTTTGAAGCCTACCCAGATATCAAATTTGATCCATATGGCTTAAAAACATGAATAATTCATACCCCGTTACATAAAATCTCTGTAAGATATAGAATAAGAGTAATTAAAATCTTTGTGTTTAGCAAATACAATTTTTTATAGTAAATTAATGATGTGTTTGAGAGTGCTTTCAACAAAAGTAGTTAAGTGATTTATAAATACTTCTCGATCTAACACTGGGCCAAACATACTCTACAAGTGTTTTCTCACCGTGCTCTTGACTTTTTATTTTACTCCAAACTATTAATATTCATGGGGTTCTATCTCAAAACAAATTGGCAATGAGAGGAGTAGCCCATGTCTATTATAAACCATTGTTAAGTCTCTTCTTTTATCAACGTGGGATCCTTAACACAAACCACGACGATTTTACGTTGGTGGTCAAAAACACTCTCAAACATGACTCTCGATGTCTACTGGACACAATTTTCTTGTAAACCGTGTCTATGTAGGTAATGAGTCTGCATTCACTTACTATGAGGGAAGTGGAAGAGGGCCAAGGGAATGGGGAAAGCTAAACTCAGATTGGAAATCTTGTGAGAAGGGAAAGCTTCAGTCTCCCATTAATATTGTTGAAGAAGATGTGCAAGTTCTTCCTCAACTTGGGAAACTCACAAGGGACTACAAGCCTGCTCATGCTGTTGTCAAGAATAGGGGACATGACGTTACGGTACGTTCGTTCGCTCGTTATGTTGACTAAATAATTTCGTCATAGTTTTGTTTAGAACGTGTTCAAGAATGCTTTTCAAAGTTTAAATACTATTTTGGTTCCTGTACTTTCGACTTTTGTTCGTTTTATGGGTCCATGTGCATATTTCTAAAACATTCCATTTTGGTCCTTATATATTTTGAACTTTTGTTCGTTTCCTTGTACTCTTTCGAAGTTTCCATTTTGGTTCATGTACTTTTAAAACGTAACCATTTTGATTCATTCAATTTCATTCTTAATCTCATTTATTCTTATCACAATTTTAGCTTGCTATATTTTCTGAAATACAGTGGTAATTAAATTTGTATTAAAAATTTCCACCGTGTATAAAATGTAGCAAAATATTCACTTTTTAAAAGTACAAGGATCAAAATGAACGTTTTATAAGTATAATGACTAAAATGATCCACAGTTAAAAGTATACGTAGATCAAAATTGACGTCGTGAAAGTACAAAAACCAAAACAGAATGTTTTTTTAATTAAAAAATCTTGCCAATGGTTTTTTTTTATTTTTTTTTATTTTTGGTTGAATAATGAAATTGCTCAGGTAAGATGGGAAGAGGATGCTGGGAAAATTACAATCAATGGAAGTCATTACAAGCTTGTTCAATGTCATTGGCATACTCCCTCTGAGCACTCTTTCAATGGAACAAGGTTTCTCTCCTACACTCGCTAATTTCCCTTAATTTTTTACTTTCTCCTTCTCTTTACAGGCACATGAAAAATTGGGGAAATTATCCACAAGAATTTTGGCTCGTGAGTTAAATTTACGTAACTTAGATTACATAAAACTCTTATGCTTTGCGTTACGTATTTACTTTTTCAAATCAAAAGCTATAACTTGATCTTGTGGTTGGAAATATGTGTCTTTAACCAGTTGAGTTATGTTAGGTTCACAATCCTGAATTTTAAAAAGTGTCTAATAATTTCTTAAACTTTTAATGATGTGTTTAATAAGGTCCAACTTTAAAATGATCTAATGTGTCCTAAGCTTTCAATTTCATTTTTTAAAATTCATGGACCTATTAGAAAAAATTGAATTTCATGAAATTTTGTGTCTAATAGAATTCTTAGCTTTTAATTTTATGTGTAATTAGTCAATAAATTTTTAAAAAAGAGTGTCAAATGGGTCACAAACCTATTATTAGATACTTTTAAATATCAACCGATTAGACATAAAATTAAAAGTTTATGAACCTTTTAATATATTTTTTAATATATTTTTTTTTTATGTTTCGGAACCTATTAAACACAACCCGTGAAATATTAGTTCCTAAATTAGTAATTTAATCAAACTAAAATTCAAGTTTTTATGAACAATAATGATTTTTTAGGCTTATTAAAATCATGAGTCAATTTTGGCCCAACTCAAGGGAAGAAGTTGACTCCAAAGGGTATATAAATAATACATAATTTTCTAAAGCACAAGGGTTTAGATTTATGCTGTGAAAAAAAAAAAAAGTAAAGGTAATATATTTTATGCACATAATAACTATTTTGATAACTATTTTATTTTGTATTGTATATTTTGAAAAATTAAACCTAGCTAGAAACACTACTTCTGTTTCTATCTATGTATTTTTTTCTTATATTATTTATTTTCAAGGATGCTTTTAAAATCTAAGCCAAAATTTGAAATTAACTAAAAATAATACTTTTACAAAACTTATTTTTGTTTTTTTTTCCTTTAAATTTGGCTAATAATTCATATGTTTTTTAAGGAAGATGAAATGCATCTCAAATAAATTGTAAGCAATCAAGTATAATATTTAAAAATTGAAAACAAAAAACAAAAAAGTTATCAAATGGGGTTTTGTCTAATCAGTTTTTCAACTTTAAAGATTAGGTACAAAATTTAAAATTAAAAGACTCACTCGGTACACTTTTTAAAGTTCAACGACCTATTAAACACAACTTTATTAAAAGTCTGAGAACATATTCAACACTCCTTAAAGTTCAACAACAGTACTGGTAAAGTTTAGGGACTAAACTTGCAATTTAACGTGACTATTTTGATCTTTGCAGACATGTCTTGGAGATGCATATAATTCATATAAACGATCGTGACGAGATTGCTGTCGTTGGAATTCTATACAAATATGGACGACCCGATCCTTTTCTTTCGAGAGTACATATACTCTTCTCTTCCTTATACTTATACTTAGTAACACTTCAATAAAAAGCACTTTCCCACAAATTAGTATACTTCATTTTTGTTAATATATGTAGAGAAAATTGTGAAATTTTTGTTTGTTTTTTTGTTTTGAAGTTGTTCCACCACATAAAATCAATTGGGAAAGAAGATAGAGAAGTAGGAATATTGAACCCAGGAGACATCAAATTTGGAAGCAGAAAATATTACAGATACATTGGTTCTCTCACAGTTCCTCCTTGTAGTGAAGGTGTCATTTGGACAATTCTCAAGAAGGTTAATTTCTTTCACTAACACATTATTCTTCTCTTTCTCGTTCTCATTTGATGACGTTTTTTGTTTTGTGTTTAAAGAAAATTTTCTTTATTTGGGATACATGTCGATCATTTGATAATGTTTCTGTTTGTTGTTGTTTTAGAAAATTAAACTTGTCTATTGTTTTCTTCATTGCTTTGTAATCTACTTTTTTAAAGACGTTTTTTCAAGTTAGGTTTAAATACTATTTTGGTCTCGATATTTTTTGTTTTTGTTCATTTTGATCTCTATACTTCTAAAACGTCTATTTTGGTTCTTATTACTTTCAAATTTTGTTCATTTTGAAACATCCATTTTGACCCATGTACTTTTAAAAAGTGACTGTCTTGGTTCTTTAATTTTCATTTTTATCTCATTTCACGAATTTAGCATGACACTTCACTCATAGAATTTCTTACAATGTGACCATTAAATTATATTAAAGAGATACCATTGTGTATGAAATTTCAAAATAAAAAACAGATTTGTAAAAACTACCTACTTTCTTTTTTCTAAAATTTGGCTTGAATCTTGAAAACGTTTAAAAAAAGTAGAGGGGAGATAGCAAAGAGAACGTATACGTGGAAGTAGTATTTAAAAGCTAAAATTTTAAAAATAAAATAAAAATAATATATTTTTTGAGACAAAAATAAAAATAATATGGTATCAAAGGAGACCTTAGAAACATTGTATTTTGTCTTCTAATATGTTTAATAAAGTTTCTAAATCCTAGCTAAATTTTGATAACTAAAAAATATATATATAATTTTTAGCTTCTTTTTTTTTTTGAAAAAAAACTAAACCAAAAAAGAAACACGTAATTTTTATAAACTTTAATTTGTAAAAACGAACAACTAGAAACAAAATTATTATCGAGCGGTCTCTTATTGTTTATGAAAGTAGATTGCAAAACAAAGAAAATTTTTGCGGACCGAAACAAAAATCGCTATCAAACGGGAACTTTATATTTCTTCCATTTTTAACTTTGGAAATATTGTGTTTCAATTCAACTAAGCTATCATTTTACTTCTTGTAGGTGAGGACAGTTTCAAAGGAACAAGTAAAAGCTTTGAAGAATGCTGTTCATGATGTGAGTATTTATTTCTATTCTTTTTATTGTTTTCTAATTTTAAAAATAGTCCCAAAAAAATTGCTTCATTTTTTTGTTCTTGTAATTAGTTTGAAAATATTATAAACTCAAATCAAAGTTATACTTAAAAAAATATATATATATTAATGAGATCGTAAATTTAAGGTTTCAATATTCATTTTGATTTTCGTACTAATGATTTTAGTTCATGTTGGTTTGTGTAACTTCAAATCGTCTATAGTATTATTTGTATTTTCAATTTTTGTTCATGTTAGCCCCTGTACTTTCGAAATGTCTATTTTGGTCACCGTACTTTTAAAAACTGACAATTTTAGTCCCTTCATTTTTATTTTTATCTCTTTTTTATCATTACAAATTTTAACATGACACTTCACTCACTAAATTTCTTAAAATGTAACCATAAATTTGTATAAAAAAGGATTTTCATTGTATATAAGATTTGTGTTAAAATTTTGCAAATAGAGACTAACATAGTCACTTAAGTACGAGGACCAAAATAGAAGTTTTGAAAGTATAGGGACTAAAACAAGTAAAAATTGTAAAGTATACGACTAAAAATGAACCAAAATTGCGAGGGTAACAAAATAGTATTTTAACCTAAATTTAACAAAACAAGAAATTTTATAAGCCACGCATTTTTCTATCCTTCCTAATTTCTTTATATTTTAGGGTACTCAGCTAAATGAACTTTGATTTAGGGTATTCGAAAAGAAACATTGACTCTAATAATTCTGTCTATATGCATTTCGTGTCATTCTCCTTCATCCCGCTTCGATTTGTCTAGTATCGAGAATAGGTAAGTATGGATATAGCCACACATTTCTTTCTTTTAATTTTTCAATTTCAGTTTATAATTTGAGTTGAAGTTTCTTTTTCTTTTAGGGATTGGAGAAAAATTCAAGGCCAATACAAGCATTAGATGGAAGAAGAATTCAATTTTATACTCCACATAAGTGAAAGGATAGAGAACATTACTTCGACTTTTTTGTTTTTCTTCTTCTTCTCCTTCTTCTTCTTCTTTTTTTTTTTTTTGCAAAGGTTAAATAAATTTCATAAAACTATTTCTTTTTTTTCTTTCTATGTGACAATAAATGAAATTAATAAAAAATAAAAATTGTAATTCATTTTGAGAATAATATTTAATATTTATATAAATAAAATAAAATCTAATTGTTCCACGTGACAGAAGTCGTGTGCTTGTCGACGACGAGTTCTCAATGTCTCTAGAATTTAAATTAAATTTGTTGGTGGGTTGATCAGTTGTGTTTATATCCTTATTAAATTGGATTCTAATTTCTGTCTCCACAATTTCTAACTTTACTTTCTAACTTTACTTGTGTTCTCACTAAATTAAATTTGCCTTCATTGTTTATGTCTTTACTTATGTCCTTATTGAATTAAATATTCCTTAATAAATTAAATCTACTTTCGTGGTTTCTACTTTTATTTATGCGTCTTTATTAAATTAAATACACTTTTGGTGTTGAGGTTTGAAGTAAATATCTATTTGACCACTGAAGTTTTGATGAGTCGATGAGACATGCAAAACAGAATAGCACTAGGACCAGTGTGGTTCTTGCCAGACAAACTGAAATGCTTAAATCAGAATCAGAGTAGTCGAGTATGGAGGATAGGGCAGTTTAGCATAGCGAATAGGGACTTGTAGCGTACCTCCATAGTATTTACGAAAATCATAAGGCCATCAGAATATCTTCTCTTTCGAATATAAGATATATTCTCTTGAATCGAGGAGAAATCTTAAAGTTATCTGSATATCTTCTCCTTTTGAATTTCTTAAATGAGGGGAATTCGAATGATAGAAAATAGGGATTTTCTTATCTATAACGGGACACCTTAAATCTCTAAGTCATCCCTAAACTACTGTCTTACGTCAACTTTATTTATATTAATTCCCTCATTTTACTTTATTTCTATTTATTTATTGAAACCCATCATTAATATGAGTTGATGGGATTGGTGGGGTTTTAAATTGATTGAAATGGTTCATATCTTAATTACACAGCTTTTTTTTTTTTTTTTTTCAAAAAGTTGGTTATTTTTCTATTAGGTGCACTTATATATTATCATAAATGCATCTACCTCCCTCAATAACCACCCTCATCTTCATTTTTATCTTTATATAATGCAAATGATTGGGTTTTTATAAAGCATTGCTAATTTCTTGACTTCTTGGTAAGTAGCCAATTCTTTTCTCTTCTTCTTTCCTCTCTTTCCATTACCCTTAATTTTACCTCTCATAATGCAGGTGATTCTTCGATAACATTTTTCGTGTAAGGGTCGAGGTAAAGTGACTTACTGATCTTCTCCTTTCATTTTCATATCATCGCTCACTAGTTTGGTTTTTTTTTTTGTTTGGTATGTAATAAAGACAATCTTTCTCCACACTACTATTTTTCCAATTTATTGTAAGTCATGATTAGAACTAGGTATAAACATGCATCGGTGGTCAATTGGACACCGTAATCTGACCATTCGATTTCGGTTGGTTGAAGACTAAAAATGTTTTGAAATCGAAGCCATCGATCAATTTTGTGTGAATGTTAGAGGAAGAGATGTCGTTGTGTGGCCACACAATAAAGTTGAGATGAGAGATATTGAGAAGGGGGAAAGAAAAATGGAAGAAAAAATGAGGGAGGAAACTTTGAAAGAAAAATCAGAAAGAGAGATAGGTGGAAGGGAAAGAAAAAAGAGAGGGAATGGGAGAAAGAAATGAGAGAGAGAGGAGAGAGCGTGATTCACGTGCCCGATCGATGAGTCGGTTTTTTATTTTAAAACCGACCCAACCAAATGTGGGTTTAAATCGACCAATCAACGTCGTTTTGGTCGGTTTTTTGAATTTATTTGTTCATTACTAACCAAAACCTCATATCAAGGTATGCACCATCTATAATTTTTTTCGAAATGCCTTATTTTGTCATGCAATGATTGGTTCTCTCGCCAATGTTTAGACGTTAGTGTGAGGTTTGTGAATTTACAAAACATAATAATTTGTATAATTTTCTTATATATTTAGGAAGTAGAAACTTTTTGTTTATAAATATTTATTTTGAATATTCGGATTTACCTTCCAAAAAAACCTTTCGAATATATATATATATATATATATATATATATATTACTTATTTTCTATTTTCATATTCTTACAGATGATAGATTAGTATTTAAGTAGTTATATTTTGAATAATTAGGATGATGGAAAAATGAAGTTGTATGTGGTATTTATTACTGGTAGGTAAGGGATTCACAAATCATAGGTAAGTTTTGCGGCCAATTTAAATTTAAGATGGCAATAAGTGGCTAATCAACGTCAAAGCGATCATAGCTTAGCAGTTATTTACGATTGAGTTGAATTCCATGAAAATTGTTCATGGAGGAAGAGTTCATAGTATTATGCACCTATTGATAGGATTTATTCTTGGAATGATCGTAATGTATATAAGGATTAGTTTAATTGTACATGGGTGAACGGCCAATAAAGCTAAAAACCAAACGACATGTTTGTGTCTAATATGATATGAAGCGACTATATTTGTGTTTTAGGAACATATCATTGTCCAATTAATTATCATGAAAAGCCACGAACTAATTACCATATTGACAATCTTTGGCACCACCCAACGTCAGTTAATACTTGCATTGGCTCTAACACCGGATCTGTTAACATCGGATATGATAGAGGTGATTCGGACAGAAATGAGTTTGCAAACGACTCAGCTTGAGAAGATTGCAGCGTGGCACGAAGGAAAGAAGTGATCGACCAGCTTGAACAAATACCAGGCTTGGGACGTGGACGATAGCGTCCAACTTATACATATTTTGTTCGATGACGTCGAGAAGACCAACAGTTTCTTGTCCGTCCCACCACATTTCAGAAAAATGTATTGCATGCATCTGTTGGGAAATAGCAAATGATCGGCCCCTCCTATCCTGCAACTATTTTTTCTTTCCAGAATTATGAATTTGGCCTTCATTGGCCATTCTACCTTGGTTGTAAATTATCGTTTCAAATTATTGTGCTTGATGTAATTTTTCTTATCCTAATCAAAATAGCTACCTTAAATAAAATTTCAAAATTTTCATAAAATAATATAACTTATAATCTCAATTTTATAATTGACGAAAAGAAAAAATCATTAGAATCTAACTTTAATTCACACTCCAAACACATAACTCCAAACTAAACAACTTTACACCTCAAATCTGAACCTAGCTCAACTAATTAAAACATATATTCTAGACCAAAAGATCGTAGATTCGAATCTTCGAATCTTCACTCTCATATTATACTTTAAAAAGATGGGTCGAAGATCCTCGAAAACTTTTAATAGATTCTAAATAGTTAGAATATAAAAAGCCAATATTTTAAAGATATATGAAGTAATTACCCATTTAAAGATAAATTAACTATGAAGTAATTACCAATCTAATCTATGAATAGGGATCTCAACTCGTGAATAAATAACCTATTACCATTTCAAATCCCTCACGAAGATAGAATAGATATTTATGTGCTCACTTAATTGTTAAATGAAAAAACAAACTATTAAAGTCCACCGTTTCACCAATGTATTCCTTTGTCTTGTTACCAACCCTTTTAGGACCATTTTCAAAATCTAAGCCAAATTCTTGAAAAAGGACAAAAAAAAAAATACCAAATACTTGTTTTTGTTCTAAAATTTTGCTAAAAAAATACAAAAGAAATGTGAAAAACATACCAAAAAATAGTGGGAAAACAAGCCTAACTTTTACCAACAGAGAACTAAAAACAAACGAAATTGTGAGAAAACAAGCATTATTTTTAATAATTGAAGACTAAAAACGAAATTATATGAAAAAAGTATGGAAGAAATTGTCAAAGAATAATGTGTCATTCACCAATAGAGGAAGTAATATCAGCTTGTAAAACAGAACAGAACTCATTTATCACCCTTCTCTCCCACCTATCACTAATAAACCCAGATAACTTGCAATTAAAGCCATTTTCGTACTCCTCAGTTCATCCACAGAATTTATCACAAAAGGCGGGTCAGGGGATGGAATGACGATGCCCGGTAATCGATTGAACCTACGGCTTACTCACAGAAATCTGGGAAGGGTCACAGATTTAGTTGGGACATTAATCAGAACTATCATTTAATACTTTAGGAGATTTAACTTATACAAAAACCAAACATACAGCATTGATAATGATAAAGCTACATAAACAGATTCTACAAACACAAACAGAAATTGAAGAGAAAAGCCAAAGGAAACTCGAGCTTTACATTGAGAACAGGTGCTGGATCGAAGGCCGATAAACTCCTCAGGCGATAAGGAATGGCAGGACAGTCAGCATGAAAGCCTCGTAACTGAAGGTTGCAGAACCAGAATATGTGGTGTCCTTTTCCTTGAATTTCTCAGTCAGTCCCTGTAAAAAAAAAATTTTACAACAAAACCATTTTAGTTTTAGCTCTTTCTTTGTCGCCATGGTACAGAAACGATTATGAGAGCCGTAAATATCAACGCAGATGTGATGCCGAGGACTCGGGTTCAATTCATACAAGGTGTTAAAAATACCAGTGTGTGAAAAAACATTTCATGTTACAGGAAAGGGAAAAAGGATAAAAACAAGAACAATTTTACATAGTGAAATTAGATGACAAGCGACTACTAGATCCACAGGCTTGTTAAATGCAGGTTCGTGTAACAGGTGTTCGGTGTATTCACATGCACCAACAGGAGTTGGAATAAAATCAAGTTCAAGGTTAAGCAGTAGATGTAATGACAAGTAGGCAAATATGCTCAAATAGTTAAACAGATTGCACACTAAGCCTGTGGATTCAAAGATGATGCCATCACCTCTAAACAGTATACAGTGATATGTAAAAGATATTCATATTAATCAGTCTAATTAGAAGACATGCAAATCAAATCAGAAGAAGCTCACCTTGACCGTAAGACAGCACCTGAATTTGCAAAAAGAAAACAATAAGAACTGTGATCGAAAGAATTCTTAACACTTAAATATCACAAGAAACCTCATCAGAAAAAGAGTACCACATCAGATCAACAGTAAGGAAGGCAAACATACTCTATGAAATTATCATATTCAATGGCCTTGCTTTTCCCACCGCTTTTGTCAAACTTAGACACCAGCAAGTCCAAGACCACCGGTGAGACTGCAAAGCCCAAACTCAAAAGTGCTTCTCGCAACTCATTGGAATCGATTTTTCCACTTCTATCTGAATCGAATCTCTCAAAAATACCCTGAAAAAGATACAATAGATACTCAATCTCACAGAATTACACCAACAAATAATTTTTGCTTCAAATAATATCAAATATTCAGCTTACCCTCCAGCTCTGAAGACCATAAAACAGAGCAATGAACTCCTTGGGCCCTGTTTTTCAGGAAAAGAAATAGAAAAGCAATGTCAATAGACAAGGTAAAATCATGATTTAGAGATCAATTCACAAGACAGCACATATCAAATCTATAGCAGCACCCCCCACCCCACTCGAGGTTTAAATACATAAAAGAGTAAGATGATTCGAACAGATTAAAAAATTGACAATATAACCATATGCTCTGATTCAAAATACCACACCATTTTATCATTTAAAAAAATACTTGCATAATGACAGACACTCAAATAACCCAAAAGGTTCAGAGTTTTGAGAAGTCTACAGTTTCAACTGCTCAATTTGAATATAGTGAAAGTCGTGCAACCACCAAAACTAATCCAAGTCCAAATGGTAGGTTCTAAATTTTCTACATAAATTTTGAGTAATTAACCCAACTGCTTAACCTAACCACCAGACCAGACAAATGTAAAATAGAGCATGAAATAACATTAACTAATCGCAGGCAATAAGATTGAGCCGAGGTATCTTAGTATAGGATTAACAGAAATATAAATAGAACGTATTTGGCATCTTCTAGTAAATACCCCACAGGTATGAGCACCATGAACTAATCAACTAATAGTAATTTTATAAAAATAATCATAATTACTAAAAACAAACATTACAATTCAACGCGATTACATGAAATTCACCTCGACAATTTTGATAATGAACCGATGACCTATTCTATGAACATACATTTATCTTTGTCAGTTTATCTTTCAATTAAAATTTGCTGAAGTGATGTGATACGGTCTCATCGTCTATGTTGGAACTAATGACTTGCATGTAGCAGAAATTTCCGGATCTTATCATTACTGTTGTTGATTTAAGAAACTAAAACGACGTGAAATTTCGTATTTCCAGGGCAAACGAAAAAGTGATAAAGAGAAAGTGCGATTACCGATCTTCCTGGTGTTCGTGTTGGTGAAATGGTACATGAGGAGGTGAACAGTTCTGATGCTAAACTTCTGATTATACGAGGACAGAACACCTTGCAACTCCTTATCATCGATAAAGCCACTCCCATCCTGATCGGCTACTTGGAAGCAGGCGACGATGCTCGGATCAGTACCAGGCGGGAAGGCCGAGGGCAAGAGCGACGCGAAAGGGTTTCCGTACGAATTAGGTGGAGGATAAGCATGACCGCCACCGGCTCCACCGTAAGATTGATGACCGCCACCAGCCCCGCCGTAGGACTGATGAGGCTTGTCCTTCGGAGGTTTGTCTCCGGTAGATGATCCGTACGGTGCCGACGGTGCGCCGTACGGGGCGGACACCGGAGCGTACGACTGCTGAGAGTGAGGCGGTGGTTGTTGTCCGCCGTACGCCGAAGAGGCGTAGGGCTGGGCAGTTGGCGGAGGAGCTCCGTAGCCTCCGTATCCACCGCCGGCTCCGGCGCCGCCGTAGCCGTAACCGTAACCGGAAGGCTGATTTGGGTAACCCGACATATTATTGCTGATCCGATGTACTAATGTGATTTTTTTGAAAGTCTTCTTTCTGTGGGGATATTTATATAGCATCTTTGTGGCAAAATTACCAATAAGGGTATGGTTTTTTCGTCATTTTACCAAAACACGTAGAATTTTATTTTTTATATATATATTTTTCTTGAGTTCCACACGTATAAATTTCTTAGTCGATAAGAAATCAGAAATTGTATTTCCTTTTATGGTAGGTTAGAAATTAGAATGGTTACTTCTTATTTGTCGATTTAAGAAAAATAAAATGTGATGCCAGAATGTTTTTCTTTTCTTTTTATAAAAAAAAAAAACCACTAAGGGTTATATCAAAAGAATGATGACCACGCACCACAATCAAAATTCATGAAGGAAACAATTATCTCAAATGACAAATAAACAATCTGAAATGACACATCTGACTAATAAAACAACTTTCCTATTCAAAGAACTATGAATATAACAAAATTTAGCTCACTAAATACATTCTCCAAAATCACAACATTCTCAACCTCGTTTAATGATGTCAGGAGAGACTCCTTAATTAATAGAAGGACCTTGTCAATTATGACACTCGTATTTAAGATTGGAAGGGAAATAATTGCCTTCAAAGTTGCTTTCTCCACCGTATGACAGGTAAGGAAAGATTAGACAAATTCATCAAATCATGCTAGTCACGGATTTCAAGTCAATTAAGATTGATAGCCTCTACAGATTCCAAAACATTGTTCGAGTCGACTGTCGCGACACCTCCGCCATCGTCCACCTCTATTCCATCATCCTTGCTTCTGGACTATGGAAGTTATCTGAACCAAGATGCAACGAAGATGAAGAGTCATTCCAAGAAATCACAAGTGCGCTCCCTTTCTAATTTTGTATCTGATAACTCTTCAAAACGCTCTAACGACGAAGCCACAAATTATATATAACAATGTTGTGTTTGATTTGTCAACTGCAACAACACTATCGGCATCCAACGGGGTGATCTCCAACACCGAACCACCGTCCACCATCACATAAACCAATGGAAAAGAATGATCCTCCCCGATACTTCCAAAACAACAAGAGAGGTTTCTGTTATACCTCAATCCATGCTACTTACTTCTTGAAGAAAAAAAAACACAGAAGAACTAAAACAAAGTAGAGAGGAATGTCATCTAAAAGAAAAACTCAGCTAGAGGACTGAGAGAAAACATGCACCCTTCGTGAAAAGGAGAAGGACAGGAGGGGAGCAGGTCACTAGCCACAAACCACCCTCCCCTCACTGTTTTCTCCCCAAAATCTATTTTCTTAAAACTGAATTAACCATGTCAATGCAACTTTTCAGTTAATGTCGGAACTTTGTCAAGACTGATGGTCGAGCGAACTTGACTGTCACTTGACAAGAAAGACTTGTACAAGAGAAGAAAATACTTTAACGCTCTAGTTAGTATGAGTTCAATCTAAAAAGTTAGACCAAGTTAGAATGCGGATATCATAGTGGGACTCTCTATTTATAGGGTGGTAATTCGACAGGGCTTCTCGATCGTCCATAATGACTATCGGAGTTCGTTATTAGAAATCGATCTGTTACATGTATAAGATTAAGCGATCTCTTCAATTAAATGAGATTTATCAAGTATGATTTATGGTTGAGTAGAAAGGTCGACCCATCATATTAAAGTGTTTTCAATTTTCATCATGTGTTAACATATTAATTTTTTTTTAAATGGACCGAAATAATATTTTGATCCAAAAAGTATTGAGAAAGAATGAAGGGTATTGGAGTAATTTGGGTAGCACAAGTGGGGGGACGTGGACGAAGCAATAACGTGGAGGCAGCTGTTATCCATATTTGGTGGCACGTACTCGATAAATTCTGTTTTTGGAGGCTTTGACTCGCTAAAGAAAAAAGAAAAAATTGGCCACTTGTATAATATTTTAATTTAATGAATTCAAGTATTCAACCCGAAAAAAGAAAAAAGATAAAAATTGCAACTTGGGAAGAGCACACGGAAAAAAATAAACTGTCATTTTTACCCTTTGAACTTAATTAAACCAGATGATATTGTTTATTGTTTTTCGTTTTCAATTTTTTAAATAGAAAAATATAATTAAGTTTACGTTTTTTATTCTCTCATTTTGATTCAGGGATAAATAAAGAGGAATATATTTGGTAACAATTTTTTTAGTTTTAATTATCTAAAAGTCTAAATTAAAGAAAAAATGTATAAATTTAATAAGTACTTTAATTTTTTTAATTCATTTTTTAATATTTATTATACAAAGATGATAAAATAATTTAGATGTGTTTTCGCAAAAAACTAGAAATTCCAATCAGAAATAATAAAAATTTTTAGAAACGTGAACAGTAATAGTTACCAAATGCTTATGTTTTAAAAAATAAAGAAAAAAAGACAAGAAACGTTACCAAATAGGGTCATTTAATAATGTTACCGTTTATTGTTTCTCGTTTCTTATTTTATGAAAAAACCTAAGCATTTGACAACTATTTATGTTCCTTGTTTCTCATTTTTTTGAAACATTTTAAAAATTGTATATAAATCTTGGAAACAATAAAAACAAATTTATTGTTTGTTGTTGTCATTTCTAATTTGTTTCCTAACATAAATAACAATATAGTTTTATCATTTTTGAATTCATTGGTGTTGGAGTCATAATTTTTATTTCTTAAAAATGAGTAAACATAAACAAGAAACGAGAATGTTACCAAGCGGACCCTAATTTACTTAGATTTGACTTTATTTTTAGATACAAGTGTTGTAATTTTCAGTTTCTGTTGGACTTCGGTTTGATATGAAATTGATGGGATTTCATGAAGGACAACACCTAGAGTTGGATTCTCATGCAATTACACATTTGATGGGTGAGTCATATTTCACTTCGAAACTTTCAATTTCAACCAATTAGAGCTTGGTTCCGATAAACGTTTGAATTTTTAGTTTTGTATTTACAAATGAAGAATTTTAAACAGGCTTTAGTTCGAGAGTCGTTAAAAAAAATCGCATGTGTATTTGATTTATTATAATTAAAGGCCAGTACGAAAGTGGTGAATTTTGATAAAAGAAGGACGTATGGGGTTGGATTATCACATGAATTTTGAATTTCGTAATTTTCACCTTAAATTTTTAATATTGTCATATTAGACCTATTTAATAAGTCTTACAACTTTATGGTTTGTTAGACTTTTATTTGAACGATCATTTTTTAAAAGTTCTCACATACATAATTGATGGATTTCAATAAGAGGCCTAGTTGCAAAATTAACGAGGTTTTATGGAAGGATAACACATAGTACGAGGAGTTTATTTAGGAGTCGATCTTGTACATTGATTTGCTATATTTGTACAACTATTTGTTAATGCTTGATTTTTGTGGAAATTAGTCAAAATGGGTATTTAATGAAAATCAAACCTAAATTTATTGCCAAGCTTATTAAATTTATGATTTAATGAAATTTAAAGTTTTTTTAGTACTGGGAAGAGGATTCGGGAATTCGAACTCACAGCCTTATAGTTGGAGGTATATGAAATTTAAAGTTAAAAGATAAAAATCCAATGGTAAAAATTAAAAGTTCTATTTTTTCAGAACAAAATGAAGTGAAAAATGAAATTTTCCTTTTTCTCTATTTTTTTTCTTCAAAGAAGGCTGCAAGTAAATATGAAAATATTGAAGAAAACAATTGAATCGTGACCTTGAGTTATTTCAATGGGATTTCATTAAGATTCAAAAAGTAATAAATTTTTGAACGTTTCAAGTCATTTTCAGTGAACGGTAAGTTCAAACTTTTCTTGAATTTGTCTTTGAGATAAAGGACAAAGAGGAATGAATTCTTCACCTGACTGCATCGTCCTATCTCATTCGGGTATAGTCTCTATCTATAATCTAGGGGGCCAACGAAACTAATGAATCCGACAAAATCGAAATCGAGTCGAATTTTTGGTTCGACGGTTTAACGGTTCGATTCGATTAAGCGAAATAGTAAAATCAAAATTTTCGATTTGGTTTCGGTTTTAAACTGTGTAGTAAACTGAATCCAACCACATCTATTATCTTAATTTTATACATTTAGTTACAAATATAATTAAAGATTAAAAAAGAAAAAAATCGATCTTGTGATGTGACTGCTGACGGCAGTGGCGACTGCAGTGCATACTGCACGCTAGCTATCAATTTTTTTTTATAATACTTGTTTAATTTTAATTAATATTTCAAATTTAACTTTTCAAATTTTGATTTCATTGGTTAATTCTTTTATCTTTTTATTTGTTTTTTTCTTTCTTTTATAAAATAAATTAAGGGATAAACTATTGAATTTAAAATTAGGATCGGTAAGCACTCTTCCTCTTCTCTTCTAAACTCATATCTAACTTTCTTTCTCTATTCCAATCTTAAATTTCACCACCACATGGGCTATATTATCATCCACTTCTAACGCCGTCTGTCGCTTGCCACCATCAACCCATGCCACTGCCTTCATCGGACCGCCATTACCTTTGTCGGACCGACTCTGCCACTACCTATTATCGTGAGAGCACTTCAACTTCAAAGGTAAAATCAATCTCCTACGATCAAGAGCCGAAACCGTAGGAACCGAACCAAATTGTCGGTTCGATTAAGCTACGTACTTCAATTCGACTCGGTTCTAGAAATTTTCTTTTTTAAAAATCGGTTTCGATTTCGGTTCAGTCCTCAAACCGAATCGAACCAAACCATGAACACTCCTATTGTAATCTATAATATATTAAAAAGTTATCATATTTAAAAGAACATTTTTTAGTGAAAATGTGAAAGTTATGAATATGACAACTTTTACTTATTTATTTCTCACTTCGTGATTTTAAATTTAATTGGAATTAATAATGAATTTCAAAAGGGAACACAAAACGGAGGATCTCACAACCCGAGATCAAGGCACAACACCCAACAGACAGACACAAGAAAATAAAACGAGAGTAAATCAAGAAAATAAAACCGAGAGTAAATCAAGAAAATAAATATCAAACCGAGATAAA